ACGAACGTCGCGTTATCTGGCACCCGCGACCAACGACGCACAGAGTTCCACGGCCGTTCGCCATTACCTATAATACTCCGTGGCTGATTCACGGAGTGACGCAAATGTCGCTAATCACCCGTTGTACCAATCACTTGCCTATTAGTTACGGCCTGCTCGCAAAGAGCCCGCGCGAGCATTACCCGCCGTTATTTCTCGCTACAGAAAATGCGAATAATTGGAGGATTATCTACTCCAGTGACTTTCCCCCTCGTTGCTGGGCATGGCCAATTCCTTCCTGCCTCCTTTCTCGTTATCCATCCAATGTGCTAAAATGTCTACGAGTGGACGCGAAAAAAGAAAGAAAAAAATGAAGGACAAAGAGTCGCGATCGAGAATTTCTCTCGGTAGATCGTCACTGCGAGAAGAAAGCACGTACTGCAATACATACAGGGTGACTCCGAAAAAAGTATACGTAGAAGAACATTCTCTCGTTTGAGATCTATTTTTTAGATTAGGATAATAATTATTAGGATTAGGATAATAATTGTGAAACCTACGTTTATCGCCTATCATACTCGTGCCTAGTCATAATTCAGAATGAAATGATTTTATCGCTTACTTCGCGCTTCTTCTGGCAAAATAGTAAAGAGTTGAATCGTGAATTCAACATTTCGAACTGAAATATACTTAGATCATTTTCACGATTACAAAAAAGTACCCTATACCAACTATCGTCCTTGGTGTTGCATGATTGTAATGTATACGAAACCTCCATTCGCATATTTGTATCTCCTCGATACATTTTTATGAAACATGAATTAAAGTTGAACCACTTAATCATTCGGATCATTGAATTACCTTCTATTTACTACAAAATAATTCATTTCGTGGTCGCGTCACCCCGTTGGAAAATTTCTCTGGATGCGACGATTTAATTAGCTCGACGGGCGCTAGGTGCGCTGGGGGCGCGCATGCGCGCGCATATCCGGCAACGGGGCCCTGAAGGCGGCCGCGTACGCGCGGAATTGAAATGCAGACACGCTATCTGAGACATTCGCACGCGCAATCCGGATTACACCTGCATCGTCACTATTACTTGAACAGTTACACTTTCTCCTTAACGTCTGCCAGCGGAGAGAGAGCACAGGACGCGATCGCGTCGGGGAAATTATCGTTAAACGAGCTGCCGTTACCAGCCCGCTGCTTATTCAAAGTATCCACTCTCTCTCCGAAGAGCGTTGCCGCTTCGTACTCGGATGAAAATATCCTTAGATAATACGCATTTCCATAGCACGAGCGATCGCGAAACGCGTATTACGAAAGCGGCCGAGCAGCAGGAACGATCGGACCAATTATCATTTATTAATCATTCCTCGGCTGAACCGGAGCGAATCGGGGGCGACACCGGTGCCCGGGACCAGCCGATTTCCCACGTTCGGGTTCCGTCCACGTAGAAAGTCTCGCGCGGGTGTTGTCTCTCTATTCGAAATTTTCGAAGGCCAGGTTATTAAGTATCGCGAATGAAAAGGGGGCGCGGGCTGTTAAAGCGTGACCTAATCCGATATCTGCGATCGAAGAAGGGAACGAGGTATCGGCTATTCCGCAATTGATCGTCGGCTGTTGCTGCTATCTGAAGAGATAAAATGGCGAAATGGCTCGGTACACTCGCTGCGCAATGACGCGCGCGCCAGCCTGATGCATAATGCATCGGCCGCTTTCTTTAATTCATCGCGACTCGTAAAGCGAGGCAACCGACGTTCGTATTACATCCAATTATGAATCACTCGGTTTGTTTCGCTCGGCTTTCGTAAACACGCGTAAGTATCTCTGTTGCCGATAAACGTTGACTTTCATCCTTCGCTGGAATTTCGTGCACAAGGTTCCGTGTAGGGCCCAATAGATCGGTAGAATCCCAAGTCCAGTATCTAAGACGATGTTGGGAAGAATAGGTGGACGAAAGACGATAAATTTTCCGAGGGTGTCGATCGACGAAGGATCGGGGGGCTCGTGGTATCGGAGCGTAGCGACGCGAGCGCCGCGCGGCGGCAAACCGGTCGTGCACCAGGATTTCGAAACGGCGAAGAAAGCTCGGTTTAATCGAGATATCGAGGTCCCTCCGCGGCCTTGCGCGCTGCAGGCCGTGATAAACGAGGTGACTGGCCGAGCCGGCTCTCGGACTTTCTTTTTAAAATCGCGCCGAGCCGAGACGACAGGGGAGGGCAAGATCGGCAGCCTCCTGACGATTTCGTGAACGACGGCGCGAAAAACAATGCGGAAATTTTCACTAGCAGTGTTCGAACCTGGCGATCGCCATTGTCTCGCCTAGGCGATTGTCCCCTTTGAGCACACGGGTTTGCGAGAAGGGGAGCAGAGAAAGGAGCAGGATTAATTATAACGGGCTTTTTTCCACGCGTAAAACCGCCTCGATGGTCGATGCAAAATAAACGTCGCGGATTACGCCGTCGATGAAAGTCGAGAGAAACGCGCTCGATACGCCGGAGCGGGGGACTATCCCGCGATGTTGCTTAATTAATCGTCTTTCGTGCCGTTGCCTTAGAAAGACTCTAGAACCGAAGCTCCTTTTCATTCGGACTTTGCTCTGGTACTTGATTTAGAAGTCGCCTCGGAATTCGCTATAAAATTTGCTTCACAGTTTGCTTCGAAATTCCGCGTGGTGTTTGCTTTAAGATTTGGTTTGGAATTTTAGTAGTTGATGCAGAATTTGGTTTGGTACTTGGCTTAGCACTTGGTCCAGCGTTTGGTACGGCATTTAGAACAACATTTGGTTCGGTACTAGATTCTGCGTTCGATTGGTAAGCGGTACATGGTTCGGTGCCCAGTTCAAAAACGCAGGATGCCACTCTTCGGTAACGTAGAGACAGCCAAAGAGATATAATTATTTTTCCCGATATTTGCAACCCTGAAATTCAACCCTGAATTTCAACCCTTCGAGGGTTACCCCGTCCCGTACACTCGCGGGTATATTTATCCGGCAACCCCTAACGTTACCTATTTCCGGAAGACGCAACCGGCTTGCAGAAGATTACCCTGAATAATGCAAAGGAGCATAAATAGCGTAAGTGCGCGGCTGAAAATAACTGGAAGTTCGCCCACTCGAGTGATTTACGAACTCCCACAGAAAACGGGGGAAAGAAACACCGATTCCGAAATTCCCCCAAACGTTGCGTAATAAAAAAAAAAAATAAATAAAATAAAATTATCAAACTTCGAACAAACCCATCGCTCCTTACCCCTAAACGAGGACGCGAACAAAAGCCATTTGTCCACTTCTGCAAAGAGAATAGCGCACGTGTCACGGTCCAAGGCGACCACGTTCCCAAACACGAAGAAGATTTAGAAATAGTTACTGCGCATAGAGAACGAGAGAGATAAAGACAGAAATGCCGCGCGCCCAGCAGCCATAAAGTTGTTACGCAGTCGGCACAATAGAAATAAATATGGTATTTAGGGAATAGCGCGACACGTAGGGTGACGCGTGATGCATCGGCGCCATTTTCGAGAACGCGCGCGAACCCCATTTTCTTCGCCTTTCAACGAGATTCCGCGCGAACCGCGGACGGACCATTCATTTAGCGACTGGCATCGACCCAATCGATCGGCAGCGCCGGCAGTTTTTATTTTTACCGGCGCCACCGACTCGTGCGCCGATGAGAAAAACGCGGGCTACGGTGGAAACTGCAGCGAACGGGCAGCACGCGCGCCAGATATCGAGGCGGTGCACGTCCCGCCGCGTCCTTGAAATTCCAAATTCGCCCGCCATAAGCGCGCGCGCGCGCGCCGCCGCGATCATTATGCATATAAGCGATCTATGCAAATGGCAGTGTCGAATCGCGGGACGCGGCGCGGTCAACGCGTACCCCGTGATTTACGCATGCGCGCCACCGTGTTTTCGTACCGAAACGCAACGGCCGCCGAGTATCCTTTAAATTACGCCGGATCGCGGCGAGGAAGAAAAAGGGAGCGGCGATTTATCGCGAAACGCTTCCCCGAATGACGGATCGACAGGCGGCGGACGAAAATCGAGAACGAGGATTTAATTCTCAGGTAAACGGGAGCCCGACTACGTGATTACGTTGCGACGCAAATTTCCGTATCGATCCTGCGTCAGAAGGCACGAGGATTCGTTCAACCGGCGAGGCCGGGTGAGAACAAACTTGCATAAAAAGTGAAGGTGACCGTCGGTGATTCATGGGGGCTGATGCCCTCGTTGTCTGGCATTCGGTTTATAGAGGACAGAGGTGGAGCGAGAGGCAGAGGGTCCTTGCAACTGACTCGTCCAAGTGGCGCTCGCTCCGTTCCACACCGGCCCTCTATCTCTTTGTTTTTCGTCCACCGAGATCTAGCCGTCGTATTTCGTAATCCTATCGAAATTAACTTCTTCGTATCTAACCTTGCGAAATATCCAACAGCGTTCCCAATGGAATCGAAAGAAACCATTATTTTGTACATATACATGTATATACGTATGTATACATATATGTAGTTTCTCCGTTTTTCATAGGTAAGATCGAAGATGGAGAAGAAAATTGAAGCCCGTAATATAGAGCCCTAGTCGACCAGTGCGCAAAAAGCGGGAGTAAAAAGAAAGAGGAAGAAGGAGAAAGGTTGGACGCGTATCGCGAGATCTCGAGCGAAGCGTCGCTCGCGAAGCGCTCGACGTGGTCGCGCGACGCAATCTAATCGCGCGTACGGCAAACGCTGCGTGGTCTGTAGTCGCGGACGCGGCCGAAAGATCTGACGCGGTGCACCTACTAGAGCGGCGAGTGGGGGTGAGCAGGACACGGAGTGGTGGGGGACGGTAGGTACTCTGACGCAGAACCGCCTGGCACTGTGTGCGGATCGCGCGGTGGTGGGGAGTGCACATAAACCGAGCATAAACCAGGCATAAACTTCCCCCGGCGGGTGGACCTGTGCTCCCCCCCACCAAAAACCTCGTCACTACCACGAGCGAAGCGTACCGCCGGCAGACACGATCACGTACACACTGACACACGTGACCGCGTCAGCCTTCTCGCATCAAACTCGAAGCCAGACGACATTGGGGCCAAGACGGCAGTCGCGAGTCTCACGCAGCGTGCAGTCAGTTTGCAGGCCGACACCGCAGCGATCGGACGTGTGTTTCTGCGCGGAAGACACATCGTACTATCTCGACCAAGTAGTAATCGGACGATCAGTAAGGGGCTGACACAGACCCGTAACACGCAGCTCCCTGTCACCTGCTCGCCAACAGTTCAAGTTCATCGTGTTCACCGGCGAGGAAGACTCGGTTGGATTCGCGTCTTCGATTCGAGATCTACATTCGCGCTTTTACGCGAAAACACACTCAGTGCTCTCGTTGGTTTCTTCGACGTGTGCCGCCGTTTCTTTTCGTTCTATCGGATCCAGAGGGGAGAGGAAATTGTACGATTTCACGGAGGAACGGATACCATTTCGTCGCGTCGTTTTGACACGTTCCGACGACACTTTCTTTCCCTCCGTACTTTTTCCTACTGCATCTCCGTTTGGTGTGACACATAAATATACCATATACCGCCGACTCTCGGAGGATTCGCTTGGATTTACCCGTAGAAGAGGGAGAAACGGTTTCGATCGCGAGCCGCGATAACAGGCGTTATTATGACGGTGACTCTCGTTACGTTGGTTCGACGAACGGGATACTTCACGCCGAGCCAGTGACTGTCTCTCCGTGTCTCGCGGATAAACTGTACAACGAGTTCGCCAATCGACGAGTGCAGCGCACCGTCTGCCTTCGTTAACCTCGCTGTGGCAAAGTGGATCGCTGTTCCGTCGTTCGATCGTGCTCGACAGAATCTTTCAAAATTGGTGAGTACACCCGATCGCGCGATCGGCTAATTTTTCCCACCGATTTCACTACCGATTTTCCACCGATTTCTTGCCGATCTTTCGCCGATTTTCTACCGATTTTTCGTCGAAAAGCAACGCAGGTGCGGTGATTGCGTCGCGATCGATCTCGATCAGATCGCGATGGCTCGGTTGTTTTTCCCAAAGCGGAAACGAATACTCGTGATTACGCGCGAGCCGGCCTTGTAATAATTTGTAGAACAGAACGTTATCTGCTGGCAACTTGTCACGCGTCAGGACTTTGAACTAAAACTCGTTGGAAGTAACTATCGCGGTACGTGCTCCGATCGACGCCGATTTCCGATTTCGAGAATCGAATGCGCGGAACGTTACCGATCGTCCGAGTGAACTTTCGATGGAACGCGACACGCGATATTTTTAATGCCAGGTGGAACAACAAAACGGCGAATCGATCGCGGATCACGATTATCGATCTCCGTCGGAGATACAAACGACCCTGAGTGCCCGCAGACTCTGACCTTCGAGAACGATTCGGGTGACGCAACGTCTGACTGCAATTCGCGGGCGCAATAAACTCATTGTTTTCGTTCCGATCGATTCGACCTATCTTATCGCGTTATCGATCCCGAAGATCGATCGGTCAATCAGAAAGAGAAAGAAAAGAGAAAAAAAAAAAAGAAGAAGAAATGGAATTGCTGTAAGATCGAGTAATCGTGACGCGTCGGAACGTTCCGATCGACGGGGCAACGTAGCGGCGAGTGAAGCGAGGAAAGACTGCGCTTACGAAAGTCTCGTGCAACGCGTGAGCAACGCGGCAGCGATCGTTGCGTCATTCGTGACGAAGCGAAGAGGACTCTGATCCTTATCTGTACGTGCAGCGCGGAGAATACGGATAGTATGGTTCGTTTCCAATTAATTTTCTAAGGGCCCCTTTCCCCCCCGTAGATACGCACCTGGTGCGAGAAAACGATTAAACGAGAATCATGGATGGAAATATGAAATTGGAATAATTGCGCGTGGCCCGAGCCTCGCACGTGGGACGCGTCATCTCGAAGACCACTCGATCGGTCGCGACGTTCGTTTGAAACGGGAACTGCTCCGCCAGAGCCCCCTTCTCGGCCGTGTTTTGCGCTCTGTATATCCCCCCATCCTCGATCGATCCCACTACTCTCCTCCCGCGGCCGCCGCTGCCGCCGCCACCGCCACCTTCTCTCTATCGTGGCCGAAGTGGGCCACGGCCTAATTTGCAGAACTCTCAACCTCGTCGTAGCGTAAAGCGTGTGTGCAATAAGCTTCACGGACTTGGAGCGAAGGGCACGCACGTGTACCGAGATACGCGGCTGGCTTCTGTTCGGTCGAACGCGAGTCGTTTAAAGGCGGTCACGAATATCGGCGGCAAGGGTAGCAGCGGGAACGAAAAGTGGTTAAGTAACGGAGGTTCGGTTCGATCGACGAGTTTTTCGCGTTTCGACCCGATGCATTTGTTCTGGCATCGTTCTATCAGGCTCGTAGTCGAAGCGATTCGAAATTGCACGATGTTGCACCGTTATCGGTGAATATCGATAATGCAGGTTAACAATGTTATCTCCAACGCATCGGATAAATCGTGATTAATTTTAAATAGAGATTTCATCTAGAAGATTTCCGATTCTACGGTATAAAGGTATATCTCGAAACTATAAACGTAACTGTGTATGCTAGGTTATCGAAACTTTCGTTTTGATCGAGAAACGATGTTGGATTTGAGAAAAATATTCAAAACGTTACACCTTGTTGCATTTGCGTTATCGGTAACTGCGTCGATATTATCGACCAGTCTATTTATCGACGCGGCCCGCGATCGTCGCAACCCCTTGAATCTGTTTGCGGAGAATCACGTCGTGGCGTGACGCAATCGGGGGAATCTGGGGGTCATTACCATCCATAGGTATACGTCGATTCGCGGCGACTGCTTCTCTCGCGAGGTCGCGCCTTGTAAAATTTCCGAAGGATATCTCGTCGGTGTAATATCGAATGATATCGACGAAGTCAGTCCGGAGGACTTAGTGGGTTCGCATTGTGCAACGGCTCGTTATCTCCGTCGGTCGATCTAGATTGTTTGGTGTCACATCAATCCGGATTAGCGGTATCTACGGTTCGCGGAAATGCATGACGCGGAGGTATTATATTCGCGTGCATAGTGGCGCGCGGGCGCAGTACTAGCGTATGCATAGCCAGCTACGAATCGTCGAGTAGTATTCCCCTGCCGATACGGTTTCTTCTGTGTCGGTGTACGGTTAGAACGCGATACGTCTGTGCGTGTGTATAAGTGGTAGCCGTCTCAGATATTGCGGACTGTGCATTGCGTCATCGGTCGTTCATCGATCACGCGAAGTTCGAAGAAAATTTCGCGCTGCGAGAACTACGCCGGGATTCTCGAACCGATTTTATCGACCAGGTAACCAAAAAATTTTATCCCCGCGTGCGTCGCTGCAATCGGTCGGTCATATACCGATTTCGCGGAATCGATGGTACGAATTATCAGAAACGCGTGCAGCGATTTCTAAAAGGCGTAAAAATCAACAAAATGGTTGCGATCGGGTCTCGTTAGCCGATCGGCGTGATCGAGCTGGCGGTTTATCAATCATATTAGGAAATATCAGGCTCCGTTGTTCCCGATGACCTTTTCGCGTTTCTATTATGCAACGAAGGTGAATGGTCTAGCATAACACGGCGTGCACGTGTAGGAGTCACGTGGCGAGAGAGCAGCCATAGAAGAACGGAGAGAGAGGTGGCGCGCGCGCTAGCCTAGAGCCGGCGAGCCTGCGCGCGCGAATTGCGCGAGCATTTCTATGCTATGCACCGCCAGTTGCATCACGCACGGCGCGTGTTATTTCTTAAGCCGGTCTCGCATTGTTTATCAGTCGAAACGCCCACTCGGGCCACTCTCCTCCCTATCGGCGTCGCGTTTCCCGTGAAGATTCGAGATGCCCTGTGAAACTCGCGCGATCGTACGCGATCGAAGGAACCCTACGGCGCACGAACGTTCGTTCGTTCGTCATCGGTAACCGTTCCACGTGTACGTTACGTAACTGCGCGCGCGGCTCGGCAGAGAAACGTATTCGCAAACGGGCAACACGTTACCTCAGGTCACGTGTCGCCGGACGAGAAACGCGACCAGCCGTTCGGTGATGCTCACGTGGGACGTGTGAAAATTCAGATAACAGGCAATTACAAGAAATGACATAACCTAAACGCTCTTTGTACTTTGGCATTGCCTGCCCGCGGCTATATTTATTGATACCGCCGTTTTCCTTATTGTTTGCACGCCGAAGATAACGAAGAAAACTGTGCTCGCGCGTGCTGAAAATGGGCCGCGAAATTATCACGAGACAAAAATAACCGAATGGTGAGATTCAAGGTTGCCGCGGTGTGTCGTCGAAAGTAAAGGCTACGAGAGTGAGATACACGCGGCGGGTCGATTCCGCGTGACGTCTATGGAATAATAAAGGCAATTAAACGATCTCGTCCGGCCGGTTGCGATTTGAACAAAGAGAACCCGATTTCTCGTAACACTCTATTGGGAAATAAATTCAGCCGACTTACCGAATCGATCAACGACTGCGCTCCTACTTTCGGTTCGTTGCACGTTTATCTAGCTATTGTATAATTCCCCAGACTCCCGTTCCGACTCGCCGTGCAACCTAACCTCAACTCGTGCTGAGATTTCAAGATCATTTCACCGACGTGGACGATATTATACGCGTAGACGTCGCTAGGGTAAACCGTTTCGTTTAACTGTACATAAACGAAGCGCGTCGGAAATCGAACAGGATGCTCGCGGCAACGTATCGGGGCGTGAACAATGGGGAAAACACGAAAGCAAGAGAGGGACAGAGTGGGGAGATAAGAGGAAGGGGTGCCGGTGCGTGTGGCGCGTTCTCCTTTTTTGCTTTTCGGTTGGCGGTCGCGTTATCGCGGGCCAATTGCATAATGAGCGGGAAACGAAATCGGAGACCGGTTCGAAATGCCTGTGTCGGTCCGATAACGGTATCAGCGGTCGGCTGTTACGTGAGCGCTGACCGCAATCGTAACACGCACGGCCGAGCCGTATCGAGTGGCTGGCATTGTGCACGTGCCTTTATGTACTGTACTTAAAGTTCGACGTACTCCGAGAACTATTTCAGGCCCGCGCGCGTTTCTATCCCCGCATTTTTGGAACGCTCGCGCTCCCCTCTGTCGTCCCCCTCAGCGTTTCTTGTTTAAATACCGGCTGCCTACGGACTTCCTAACCTCTAAAAATGTCCCGCGAAAAAGATTCCTGCAACCTTCCACGATATGCGAGCAGCGAGGAGGAATGGCGCGTATGCTGATCCCGTCGGAGTCTCGCGAACATCGCCTATATGTGGTTCCGAGAATCATCGAAAATCGAGGCTTCCGGTGTTACCTATCTCGGCAGATTCTCCGCCGATAAGCACGCGCCGACTGAATGAAAGGATTTCGAACACGCCTCCGCTCAAATATTACGTAACGATCCCGCACGCCGGACGAAACGTGTCTACAACTGTAAATCGACTGGCATATCCCAGAGATTCCTACGAGGTGGAAGAAAAACGGTAGGAGGAATGACGTCCGAGAAACGCGGCGATCGACACATCGTTGAACACGAGGAATTTGGTAACTCGCGTGTCCAGTTTCAGGGTAATGGGACGGATAACGGTCGTGTCCTTAAGACGCTCCGCGGTGGGGGGGGGCGGTGGGGGGTGTGGCTTGAAAGTCCGAACGGGACAGAGAAAGAATGGAAGACAAAGAAAGGTGCGGACGGCATGGTGGGGGATGGTGCGCTATAGCCTTAGCATTCGGTACATTGCGCGCACCGTCACTGCGTTACGGAGAACAGCGTGCTTTTGTCGTTACATAACCGTGCGTCACGCGGCCGAGTTGAGACAATTTGGAGCAGCTAGAAGAAAAGGACGCGGTCACGCGGGAACAATGCGCGTGTAGGGGTTCGACAAAGGACG